GAAAGAAAGAAAGAAAGAAAGAAAGAAAGAAAGAAAGAAAGAAAGAAGAAAGAAAAAAAGACCATGCAGTAGTATAATGAAATACTGTATAAAATGACTGCCACTGTGGATCAGGTGAAGATACCTGGGTACACCATCCCTGGTTAGCCTTATCATGGTTTAGGCATTCCCTTGTCCTGTATTCAGCATCATTATGTAAAAGAGAAAGAAAGAAGGTAGTGTTTTGTTGTTGTTGCACGCTTAGGTTAGCAAATTAGTAAATGTGTACTAAAAAGTAGAGTTTGGGCACAAGAACAAGCCTGAAGAAAAATATGTTAATGTCAAAAAATCTCTATGGAGGTTCTCTGTCATCCAGGTCATGCTTGTCTCCAAAAGTGCTTCTTTCAAATGGCAACTGGACTTTCTTGATTTTTTTCTTGAAAACATTTCAATTCTCATCCAAGAAGCTTCTTCAGTTCTGACTGGTGGGGAATGGAAAGGAGTCAGTTAGAACCGAATAAACCTTTTGGGTGAAAAGTAAAACATCTTCTGCCCCCCCACAAAAAATCAAGAAAGTCCAGTTGAAAAAAGCACCTTTTGGGATAAGTGTAGTAAAGTTAAGATTACTGTACAATATTTTTTAGTGAGCAGAGAACAGAAAGTTTTGTAAGAAAAAAATGTGGATTTGCAACAAAATTGACTGAACCTGGCTAAAACTGAAGGCAATATAACACAAGTGTCAGGATTCAAAGGTATGTTCCTGGTTAAAGTTGAATCTGACTTCCAGAATCTTCAATGGTACGATAGTTCTAACTAACTGGTGGGAAATGGAAAGGAGTCACTTAGAACTAAAGAAGCTTCTTGCTGAGAAGTGAAACATCTTTAAGAAAAATCAAGGAAGTCCAGTTGCTGTTTGGAAAAAGCACCTTTTGGAATAAATATGGAAAAGTTAAAGTTACTACACAATATTTTCTTAGTGAGGAATGTTATAAGATATTCCAGACCATGACACAATAAAATAGGGAACGGAAAGTTTTGTAAGAAAAAAAAATTGGGAGTTTGCCACAAAGCTGATTGAACTGGGTCAAAGTGAAGGCAAAGTAAAACAAGAATCAAATGTATGTTCCAGGTTAAAGTTGAATCTGAGTTCCAGAATCTTTAATGGCAGAGATGTGAATTATATTGCCAATAATGGCTTTAAAATTAAATAAGTAAGCTGCATTTTCATGGAACAAAATTGATTTGCTACCAACATTCTCAATTTCATTGTTAACAGGTGTGTGCTCAAAAAGATAAAGTTCAAATTTGGTGACCCTTCCATGAGTGAGAAATTGCCATGACAGAAAACTACCTGAACAGGGCTATTGCTAGGAACACCTGGAAATGATTACTATATTCACAATATTATCAGAAATTTCACATCAAAATGTAGTCAAATAAATGGGAGGAAACCAGGTGGTCTTGAAAAAAATCACATGTACTGTATTTTTGAGGCTATAATGTTACCCTGTTAACTACATGTATTTTTTTTTAGCATTACTGATGTACGCTTATGAAATAATAAAAGTATTGTTCATGCCCACAAATCCCTTCCTTATTCCAAGTTCTCAGCAATTTTATTTTGAGTAGATATTCACAACAGCGGAAGAACTGGAAAAGACAAGGCTGTGTTTCCTCATACAGTACTGGCTCAAGAGTCAAACTTTCCCAATGATATTTTGAAAAATGACTAACTGACATGTCCTTAATAACAGCTTGCAACTTTACCAATTTATGCATACATCATGCTCTTTTATGACCTGTAAGATAACATATACAAGTACTAAAAGACAGTTAAAGGTTTATGGCACAGTAATAGCCTCTTGACTTTTATTTCTTCCATCCTGCAATAATGATTACTTTATATAATTCATTTTTAGAGAGAAATGCCACCAGAAGTTTCTCATTGAAATGTACAGCTCAATTCGATGTATAATTTCTCAGAAGCTATCCCACTCAATTCCATAAGTCTTGGTACTTTAAGCACACAGTGGATTAAGTATATAACATATATGATACTCACCTTGTGCAACAGCAAACAATAGAATCATTATTTTGATATTCACAGGTGAAACCAAATGCATACTCTCCCAGGCATATCAAGTGATTTAGTTAGGAACAAAAATAAGATGAGTTGGAATTTTGTTTTCTTCAAACTTTAATTAATGATTGATATTGTTACATCAACAATCTTTAAAATTTCTTTACGGTATATATATATAATTCTGCTTAGCAAGGATATTAGCCTAAAACAGGAATTAAAATATTCATCTCTTGCATATAAGCACAACAAGACAGTTACGGGAACTCCACTCGCATCTGATAAAATGGTCAAAAATTGGTGAAATATTGATGAAAAATAAAGCATATTTTTATAACTTAATGTTGGAAAAAATAACAAAGCATTGCTTCATATGTAATTATACCACACCCAATTAAGCCCCTATGTAAACAGGAAACCAACCTGCATGCAAGACCCAAATACAGAGCCAGTTTGATCTAATGTTTTAATCATCAGGTTCGAAAACAAGAGAACATGAAAGTCAGCTAGGTCAGAGGTCTCCAACCTTGGCAACTTTAAGACTTGTGGACTTCAACTCCCAGGATTCTCCAGCCAGCTGGCAGTTTGCAATGTGGAAATGTGACTCTGGAAACACGAGACCCATTGGAAGGCCATCCTTTCTGGTGGCCCAGTGCATTTGTGATTTTTTTTTT